ATCAACATCATCTCCAAGATTACCATCCCCAACTTTAAGTAGCCACTCAGAAAATTCTTTTATTTCCTCTAACTTGTGAGCGCTACTTCCAGAATTAATACGCATGTTCTTGGTCAAAGTTAATAAATGACAATGGGACCCATAGATGAGAAGAATTGATGGTTGCATGAACTATATCTTGTCTGTTGCCATGAGGAATGACAGGTAATATTTGCCGAAAGTCACCTCCTAGAACAACAACTTTTCCACCAAATGGCATATCAACACAGCTTGTATCAGAAATTCTAAGAACATCTCTCTGTGTCCTATCCAGAGCCTCAAAGCAAAATCTATGTACCATTGGAACTTCATCCCAAATGATTAACTTTGTTTTTGACAGCAACTCAGCTATAGTAGATTTCAGCCTTATATTACACGTTGAATCTTCATTGATTTGAATAGGAATACGAAATCTAGAATGCGCTGTTCGTCCTCCAGGAAGCAGAAGGGAAGCAATTCCGCTAGAAGCAACATTGAGTGCGATTCCAGCTTTTGATCTAATAGATGCTGAAAAAGTATTCCAAATAAATGTTTTTCCTGTACCACCGAACCCGTATAGGAAAAATAACCCTCAATTACCTGCCGTAACTGCTGAAACAATTTTATCATAAACAGCTTTCTGCTCATCAGTGAGGGAATTAATTAGTCTTTTATGCTCCTCTTCCAAAGCAAATCTGTCATACATTAATTCATCCAACACTAATCGATTTTGCATATCAAGCAAAGTTTCACTATTGATGCGTGGCATTGACGGATAATCAGAGAGGCATTTCCCATTGCTCTGCAGTACCTTATCAATTTCTTCAAGAGTTATGTTTTTTATAGACTCTTCTGTAAGAATTGCATCTGACAAAGCATAAAATTCAAAGGAAAAAAAATTAAAAAATTAACAAAGATAAAGTAATCAAAGAAAGAAAAGAGAGCGAAATAAGTACTAAAGCATCATTTGTTGAATGCAGGCAAAAAAAAAAACAAAATAAGCACTAAAGCAACATTTGCTGAATACAGGCAAAAAAAGCTAATAAGTACTAAGGCATCATATGCTGATTTCGGTTAAAAAAAAAAATTGTATGAAATATTATTATAACACGTACCTTGACGTCCTATTTTTTTCCTATGCCGATAAACAACGTCGTCGGATAAAAATTTCCAACACTTTTCCCAAACTTTTTCAGGTCTGTTCATTGAGTTGGCAAATAACAACAGAGCAAACAGACATCTAAGATAAGCAGCAGATCCCCAGGAACTTGCCTCCTTAATTGCATCAATGTACTCATTGTCATCATCCAGAAGTCCTAAAGAATAGCACGCATCCTTAAATGTAGGAAAAACCACGCCATTGATCGTTCTAAGATCTTCATAACTGGTGTAACCTCTTTGAAAATTAAGCAAGGTGCAAAGATATGAATCTTCTCCATTATTGGCAGAAAAACGATTTATCCTTCCAATGGAAAATCATTTTTTTCTCGGATTCCATTCATGCGTTTTTTCTTTGAAAACAAATTCAGTCGGGTACTCTCCATAAGTTAGATGCCTACCTTCTGGATATTTTTTATTTGCATCCATCCAAGACTCAAAAATTGACAGTCTAGACTCCGCCCTTGTCTTTACATCATACAACGAATCATTATCACTGAAAATAATGTTCTTTTCATTAGGCTAGTGAAATGGCAATCTCTGAACAGGGGGATATCTCGAATGAATGTCAAATCCAAATATTCTCCAAGCTGCTTCACATGCGGAGACATACCTATCATAAATAAATAAATCGGTGAACATTTAAGTTAATAATTTCTCAAAAAAATTGTGCCAATTTTGTAGGAAATCAAAACACAATGGAGATTATTTTTAGTACCTGCAGTCATAAAACATTTTTATTTCATCGTCCGAATGATTTATGGCAGCTGTCACTCTGTCATTCCCTTTATGGATGTATTTAAAAAGATATTTAATGACACTTCTCTGGCAAGTATATTCAACGTTGATATGAGCCTGGTACATTAAAAGAAGGTGTGCATTATAGGGCACAACATAACGATTATCAAGTTCAACACCATTTTTGTTCACAACTCTCCCATCATTTCTTCTCTTATAATGAAGAAATCCATCATCGTCAATCAAAGTACGGGAGCAGAAGTTTTTTGAAAATTTTTTTGAACACCGTCCGTCCTTCATGCAAGGAGATTTGTAATTTTCAGGACCACATGGACCATGTATCATGTAACTCGTGACAGCCATAAACAGCGTAGGATTCGTTTCCTTGTCAGGTATCTCCGCTGAAATCAATTTATCAATATCAAGAGCACTTTCAGCTTTGCTTGAAGGGTTCAAGAATAGAAGAATATGAGCATGAGGTAGTCTGCGCTTTTGGAATTCGATTGTATAAACATCTGTTACATTCAACGAATATAACATAAGTGATAATAAGAATACAACAACGTTATAGAAAGATTCAATGCATGACGTAAATTTTTTTGTATAAAATCCAGTTAACAAAAAGAGTATCAAGTTTATAATATACTTACATGCAATGACTCTGCCAAGAATATTTTCCTTTTTTAAATCATGTAGCAACTGGTCCAATTTGAACTTGAAGACTCTGCATAGAATATCAGGCCGATCTTCAGGGTTCAGCTGTCTGGCCCTAACAAATCGTGTAATTTCTGGCCACTTAGGATTGCAGGTAATTGTTATAAAAAGATGAGGATATCCAGCCCAACGGCAAATTGCGAAAGCATCTTTACAATTTTCAGCCATATATCTAGGTCCGCCTGAGAATGAAGAAGGTGTAATGATACGTTTTCCAGTGCTCAGTGCTGCATCTTCACCGTTATCTAATGAATGTTTTATATTTTTGTACAACTCAGCTCTCAGATGACTCTGGTTATATCGAATGAAATTAAGTCGTTCAAACTCAATCATAGTGTATGCATCAACCAGAAATTGTTGGAAAAGTTTCCTTGATCGATGTAGAATTTCTGATTCTCCAGATCGCATCTGAAGTCTAAACGAAAAAAATTCCTTCATGCTGATCATGGCTCTTGCATTTTTCCTACCACTGGATACAGTACGCTGGACATCATCACGATAACCGTCTTCACCGTATGGAAATAACAATGGATACTGCAAGCCAAGATATAATGGATGCTTCACATCGATGCGCTGCAATACTCTATCTTGTGTTTCAATAATGATATCCCTATCGCCCATAGCACTGTCTATATCTCCAACAATCAAAGTTGCCACTTCGGATGCTGTCGGAAGATTATAAACTCTTCCATCACTACCACGCCTTCGAATAAGCCTCAACTTTACACCATTAAAGTCATCTTCCTTATAACGGTCTCTAGCGTACCTGAAAGACTAAGCTATACTGTTGTGCTTATCGAACATCTCCTTCAATAATCAGATAATTTCAGGATCAAGCATATCTTCAGTGCTGGTGGAACTGCAAATTTAATAAATAAAAAAATTGTCATTCATATTAGTCAACATAAAAAGATACTCCACATATGAAACATGAGAATTGGGTCAAAAAAAAAATATACCTTAGACAACCAAGTCTGTTGTCCACTTCATGCTCAGTGTCGTAAATATAAAGTTGAGCAAATTTTGGAGACTGACTATCAGCAGGCAGAAGACTGCCAATTAAATGATGAACTCTCCCCCCAACTCTAAAACAGTAAGGGTCAAAACCTTGATTTACTGATCCATCCACTTTTGCTCCAAAGGAGGTGAAGGAAAAAATCATATTGTACGCTCTAATATTTCGCAAAAACTGGCGGCTCGTCATATTGGAATTAGCATGCAATTGAAGCAATGTATCCGGAGCAGTTGGCACAAAGAGTTGTGATTCAATATTTGAAAATTGAAAATTAATATAAAGACCTTGATGGATAGAGGTAATAGTTGGCACACTGGAGTCATTGACATCAGTATCTGTAACACAAAGCAAAAATGTAACAAAAATAACAAAAGACATTTTTAATATAAAAATATTTTTAACTGCGTATTAAATCGGATTTGTGCTCACCATATTGAGTATAAGTTGCAGACAAATGTTCTCCAAGATGATATGTAAAAAATAAAAAAAATGGCACATTGGAATCATCCATATCCATATATATAACACAACAGGAAAACGTAATAAAAAAAACTAAAAAGAGAGCCCATCACGAACAAAGAGTTGTGATTTAATATCTGAAAATTTAAAATCGATAGAAAGAGAGCCCATCATGTTCTCTTATTCATTGTTATCAGTATCTGTAACACAAAGCAAGAGGTAACGAAAATAATAAAAGACATTCTAATATAAATAAATTTATTCCCAGCGCATTTAATTAAGCAAATGCGTACCAGTATAAGTCGTAAACAACTGTTCTTGAATATGCTATGTAAAAAATCGGTGAGTATAACATTTATCATTCAGACATTTAATTTGCAATTAAACAATAGAAAATTGGAAATAACAAATTTAGAGAATAAACAACGCTCAAAATAATTAATTTACTATTATTTTTTCCAGTTACCATTCGTATAGAAGCATTCGTGCTTGCATTTTAAAAATCCAATACAAACAGTGACAGGTGTTTAAACTCACTTTGTTGATCCAAATCAGCTGAAGTCGTACTTGTACCGTTATCATATAGGGAACTACATTGTATGTCACAGATAAAAAAAAAGGCTTTAATGAATTTATATTACGTCAATGAAGGAGGTGCATGTAAAAATATTTAATTACAACATAGTGTTCCCATAAAAGTATCACAGGTATAATGATACTGTGATATATAGTTTTCATCACTGAACGCAGTAACGGTTGAAAGCACTGAATTCTCACTGTTCACATCAATCCCTATATGAAAAAGTCCAATGCGGAATAAATAATATAGTCGAAATAATGGTAAGTGAAAAAATAGTTAATACATTACATATATTATCCTCTTATAATTCATGGTTGTAGTAAAATCAATCAAAGACGAATTACCTAGTCAAGTCAAGCATCTTTGGTATATTGTTTATCTTGACATATTGCTTAGAAGTCTTCTTTTGGAACATGATACCTTTCCGCCTTGATCTAGCATTTTTGCTTTCTAAGAAAAAATAAAATAAAATAAAAACTTAACGGCAACCAATATAAATTTTACATTTTATTTCACAAAATTAAAATAACGTGTGTTGTAGAAAATGGTAGCTTATTGAAAAGATTACCTTGTTTGGGATGAGAATGAAGACAGTCTCTAGCAATTGAGGAAGAAATATTGGATATCGAATGGTTTGTATTTGCGTAAATACTGATTAGTTGGAAAAAAATATTATACAACATATGAAGCAGTTAAAAAAACTGCTCAATATGAAATTTAAACAATCAAACAGCAGATGTCAATTACCTGCTAACGCATGAGGGAGTCAATGGAGATAGATTTTCTACACAATACCAAAAATGTAAATGAGGTGCCAACATTATAATGCCAACTTTCCTAAGGATAGTGATCTAAATAAAGTTATCAGTTGAATAAGAGAAGGAAATCTAATTGCAAGCTAGTGTTGATATAATAATAAAACTCATATGTTGCTGTACAACCAATAGAATATGAGAATGTATTTACAAAAGAAAATAGTGTACAAAAAAATAAATAGACATTGAAGTTAATTTCTTTTCACCTACTGTTAGTTATATCATCAAGAGAGAACCTGTTGCAGCTAAACTCATTCCGTTTACTGGTCATTTGAGAAATGTTGTATGTTTAAAAAAGATTAATAAATCAAGGATTGTTAGTCATTGTTGAATGAGATAACCCAAGCAATAATCTTACATGGCACTGGTGGAGGCAGAAAATGGAGTAAGATTTTCTACAGAAAAATTGAAAAAGTCAATTAGATAAGAACACAAATAATCGAAGTTCATTGAGGAAAGCCTTCGCACACACCATTCAAAGGAAACGATTCCACAACGTTTGGCTAGTAGGAATTAGATATTATTTTATTATAATCACAACCACGTGGCATGCTATGCGCAGTACCAACTGGGAACAATACAAAATCGAAAAAATAATAAATCAAACTTCCAATAGTATAACGTTGCTAAAGCTGTCAAATTGGTATAAAAGAGTAACAAACCGTTTGTAATATTATGCAGTCGTTGTCTGTTGGAGCTTATATCATTCTGAATAAAGCTCACCTTTGAAAGTCTACATGTTTTAAATATGGGGCAATAACAAAATCCACTAAAGAAGTTCCGCAATTAAATTTAAAAAATCAACAAACCATGAATGACATAAATGACGAAATAAAATTACCTGCCATCGGTAGAGGGAGAAAACCCCAAAAGTTGTTCTACACAGCAATGAGTAAAATTAATGAGTAAAATTATTTAGTTGTGAAAATGAGAATTGATTGTCTGTTGCAGTCAACCTAGATGATTCACTCAGACCTCTGTTTCTTCTTTTCCTTGAAGGAGTATGGAATTCTGATTTGTATTTGCTCATTTTGATATTGTCTCTGTAGCAGTTTGGTCTTCAAATGATATGGTTTTTTGGTTTTTTAGCTCGATACCTTGCTGCAAGAAATGCAGTTTTTTAGCTCGATACGTTCAGGAAAAGAAATGCCAGAAATGCGTTGGGATTCAGTAGTTATAAAAATGTGAAGTTTTTGAATTAAACTGAATAAAGATTTAAAAAACAAAGATAACGACAAAAGAGTGATTCAGTAGTTATAAATGAGATTTTCATGGAATAAAACAGTCATTTGTTTTAATAACAAAACACTCATACCTGATTCCACTGAATCAAGAGGTTAATAAAAGATTCAAATTTAAAAATATGAAAATAAGGAACAAAGGTCGGGATATGTATACTTTTTTTTTTTACTAATTAATTTTTTTTCGAGTAAATAGAATTGTATTCTTTAAAAAATGTGAAGTTTTTGAATTAAACTGAATAAAGATTTAAAAAACAAAGATAATGACAAAGAGTGATTGAGTAGTTATAAATCAATGAATATCCCATAAGGTGCATGGTTCTGTGGTTTTATCTTCTGACACACAAAACAATTTTTAACAAAGTCTCTAACATCCTGTTTGATTCCTTTCCAGGTAAACGAACCGTAGATGCGGTGCATTGTAGCAGTGACACCCGAGTGACCACCCTGGATGGAAGAATGCAGTTCCTGGAGCAGGATGGGAATTAAACTGGACCCTGATGGTAAATTTTTTTTGTTGTTGTATAGGACGAGTGGACCCTGAACTCGCCATTGAGGCCATGAGGATGGGGTCTGGTGAATGGCTTGCCAGATGTGTGAGGTATAGGGGTCCTTCTGCAATTCAGATTGTAAAGTGGCGGTGTAATTGGAAGTGGGTCCTGACAACACCGTGAAATGGGCTGCTGGGGCGGCAAGGTCAATGTTGGTGGTCTAGAGAGTGCATCGGCCACAATATTAGCCTTGCCTGACTTGTACTGGATTGTGAAGTTGAAACCGAGTAGTTTGGCCAGGAAGAGTTGTTGCTCCGGTGTTTGAATGACCTGCGACATGAGGTGATGCAAGCTACGGTGATCAGTTCGGATAATAAATTCAGATCCCAGCAAATACTATCGCCATTTTGCCACAGCAGCTGAAATGGCAAACATTTCCCGCACATAGGTGGACTTGTTCTGCATGGTGGGGGAGAGCTTCTTGCTAAAAAAAGCAATGGGATGATTGTGTTGGAGTAGCACAACACCTATACCACAACCAGAAGCGTCAGTTTCCAAAATAAATGGAAGGGAAAAATCAGGGAGCGCTAAGATAGGGGCCTGTGTAATCAAAGCTTTCAACTTCTGAAAAGCTTGAGCGGCTGTTGGTGACCACAAGAAACCCGATTTGCACATTAAATCAGATAAGGGTGCTGCTACTAAGGCATAATTTTTGATGAAGCGACGATAGTAACCGGAGAGGCCCAAAAAGGCTCTGACATGGGTTTGGGTCGTTGGCAATGGCCTGTACCTTCTGAGGGTCCGGTGCAACCCCAGCACCAGAGATAATATGTCCCAAGAAATGGATGGAAGGTAAAGCAAATGAACATTTGGACAATTTCGCATATAGAGAATTACTGCGCAGCATTTGCAGCACTATGAATAAATGGTGAACATGGTCCTGTAGGGAAGCACTGTACACCAGAATATCATCAAAAAAATAACTACAAAGCGGCGAAGAAATTCAGAGAAAACCTCGTTCATGGTAGCCTAGAAGGTGGACAGGGCATTGGAGAGCCCAAAGGGCATGACCACAAACTCGTAATGACCATGATGTGTGCGAAAAGCTGTCTTATGGATATCATAAGGATCCATCAAGATTTGGTGCCCCGAGCGTAAGTCAAGCTTGGAGAAAATGATAGCCCCGTCTAATTCATCCAAAAGCTCATCAATCGTAGGGATGGGAAATTTGTCCTTCACCGTGACAGCTTTTAAAGCTCTATAATCGACACAAAAAAAGCCAGGTACCGTCCTTTTTCTTGACCAATAGAACTGGTGAGCTAAAGGAAGAGTGACTGGCGCGGATAAGTCCCCCAGTAAGCATTTCTTTGACCAAACGTTCAATCTCATTCTTTTGGAAATGAGGATAACGGTATGGTCGGACCTGGATGGGTTTGGTGTTTTGGTGGAGAGGAATCTTATGGTTGTATGTTCGGTTAGGGGGAAGGGCTGGAGGTGTCTCAAACACATCAGCAAAATCAAGCAGCAGTGTCCTAACTGCTGGGTCAACAGGCCTTGGATCAACAAGCAGCTCACTTCCTATAGGGGACTGTGAATTGGTAGCTAAAGTGGTGAAACACATGTGACAAGATGAAACAGAATTCTGAGCCACCAATCGATGGAGTTGAGCTGGAGAGATGGCAGTAGGGTCTAGAGTAAGAGCACCATGTAGAATGACCTGTGAAGTTCCATGAGTGAAAGACATTGTGAGCTGTTTGTAGTCTGTGACAATGGGGCCCAATGTGGCTAACCATTGTACGCCAAGTACAATGTCAGCACCCTTGAGGTCTAGAACAAATAATTCCACCAAGAAAAGTTCATCCTGTAAGAGCAAGGGAACCTGTAAACATTTGGCAGAACAGAGAAGTGTGTCTCCATTGCCTACTTGGACAGTGAAGGGGGAAATGGCCTGTAGTGTTAAATGCAGAAACGAAGCCATCCTTGGAGTAATGAAGTTATGGGTGCTGCCTCCATCAATGAGGACTTGAAGTGGATGACCTGCAATGGAGCCCTGGAGTCTAAAGGAACGCGAATTATGATGACCGAAGAGAGCATGGAAGCTAATCTCTGGAATGGAGGGTTCGGGTTCCGCTGGTTCAGGGAAGGAAGGAATGGCATCAGTGTGAGAAGCAGCTGGGTGTGGCAGCTGGATGGCATCCAATTCCGATTCACTGTTATCCAGGTATAATAGAGCAGGTTTGGATTTGCATTTGAGACCGAATGTATATCTTTCGTCACAATTGAAACAGATGTTCTTCTCCCTTTTTACTCTAATTTCTTCGGGTGATAGTCTCTTAATTGGGATGGCAGGTATAGGGGCAACCTGGGAAACCGTAGGAGTAGGGGTTGTAAGTGCTAATGGAACAGTGTTGTGAGAACGAGGAATCCAAGGTTTCGAAGACCGCTCCTGATTAATCTGGTCTTCATAGACCCGAGCAAGAGCAAAAGCTTGGTGGACATCCATTGGGCGATGAGGAATCATAGAACTTCTGATTCTGGGTTTTAAACTAGAGATAAACATGCTCTTTGTGATAGCAGGGGATAAGCCAGGAACTCGACTAGATAAACCCTCAAATGCGGTCTAGTAATCATGAACTGTGGCAGTTTGCTGGAGCTTGGCCAGAAGTGGAGTAGGGTCTTCAAATTCTGTAGGGCCAAAGCGTTGATTCAGTGCCAAAACAAATGTATTCCAAGTGGTGATGAGGCCATCACGTGACATTCCTTGAAACCAGCTAGCAGCCGGATCTTCCAGATGAAAAGAAGTGAGGAGTAATTTATTAGGTTCAAGGGTTTGGTAGTATAAGAAATACCGTTCAACTGCAAAAAGCCATCTAGTAGGATCTCCCGTAGAGAAACGAGGCAGATCTAATCGAGGAGAACGTCCTCCAGGCCCTGGACCCAAGATTCCAGGTTGACGTCCGTGGTGATTGATCATACCATTGTTCTGCTGCTTCTGTAAATGTCTTTCCAGGTCAGTACGCATATCTTCGAATCTTTCTTTTTGTTGGTTTTCAATAGCATGGAAGCGTCAATCATGAGCTACGTCCCATGCTCTGAATTGTTGAGTGGTTGTGGTCTCATTATTTTGTAAACGATTTTCTGCATTTAAGAGTTGCTGCTTAAGTTCGTTTACTTGATTTTGTAGGTCTCTCATCCTAGTATTATCAGCCATAGAAGGAGATGCAGCAATGAAAGCACCAAATTGTAAGGAAGAAGATGAAGAAATCAAGGAGAGGTAGTTAGAGGAGAGAGTAGAATTGTCCAACAATTTTCTATATTTTCTCTTCTTTTTAGTTTCTGTATATATTCACGTTTCCAACTAACATGGAATGGGTAACTTGACATTACATGATAGCCAACCCATTATCCCAACAATTATTAACCCATTACAAAATCTCTAAAACGTTTGGGCCTAAGTTTGGTTCGGTTGGCCCTCTTATTCTTCTGAGCTGATAGACTTGGGTTCTGGACGTAAGGATCAATTGGGCTTGCTACATCACCTGTGTTGAGTTGCTCTATTCAATTGAGAACAAGGTTGTTACGGTTAAGGGAATGTAATTTGGGTCCCAATCATTGCACCAGACGTTACAGTTGGGAGTGTTGTTTGATAACAGAAATTAGCTATGTGGCCAATCCAAGCTTTATATATCAACTAGGTAGCATGCAGAGAACTGCTGCGGGTTACCAAATATTCAAATGACAGTATCGTTTAAATTAATAGAAAACAGCATACATAGTAGGAAGGAGATGAATGGAACTTCATTCAAGAAAGAAGGAATTAACAAACATTACATTAATCAAGCTTAACCAACTCTAATCTTCCTTGGGCATATCAGCTATCTTCTCTGGTTCATCTAAGGCAGATGAAGTTCTGAATCTTTCCGCTGGAATTTTAGACACATCACGACGTACTCCAATATCAAAAACCAATCGGCTAACACAGTACATGCCATAACCAACCAATGCTAAACCACTAAAACTGGTGGTCAGAAAGCCAAACGGTGTAGAAACTACGGCACTAGCAGCAGCAAAGTACGATGTCGCTTGCCCACTCCTGCATACACCGAAGCTTGTGAATACAAGCAGACCTGTTTTGCAGTAAATTGCAAAATCTTCACAGTTATTCTTGAAAAGATTGTAGCCACCAAATCCATTTTCCAGAAGAAATGAAGCACGGCGAAGAACATCTTCAGTTGGATCAGAAGGAGCAAGTGTGCAGGTACCTCCTCGAGCTTTGGCTAGAAAAAATGCAGGTGAGACACCATACTCAAAGAGGTATAGATTACCACCATGAAGAAAACAATCCAAACAGGAAGAGATGACACCATCAGTCCTACTTTGGTCACCACATCTCGGGCATGGATTGTCATTATCATGAGAGGGAGATGAACTGAAAATGAGACGGTCCAACACAGTTCCTGTTCCAATTTCATGGCCTGCTCCCCTGGTAAAGTGGATCACCATTCCATCACCCACGTATATTCCTGGTGTTGTGCACGAAGGGAGTTGAAAAAAACCAAGATATCAATTTCACTACCAATACCATACATAAAATAACACAGACTATAGGTTCAGAGTCCAATTAAATCTGAAGTCTCCAAATCTCATATATGGAAGAGAACTAAAGCATGCAAAAAGATCAATGGCATCTTACTATGCATGAATCTGGCCAAAATGCTTATTAATCCTAGAATTCTTGTGAACGATATTTTTCTGGTCCTGAGGTTCTCTTTATGCACAAAGAGTCTTAGTTAGTTTTGCTTTACTTCCCCCTGCCCAAAACGTGCCACATGCACACACACACAAAGATTGCCAGCCTATAGTTTCTCACCCCTATGAATCAGTCCTTTGATAAAAAATTAACTGACCTTGCAAAGCATTCAACCTCAACATTATCTCTCCTCATTGATGTTTAATATTATTCCTTAATGTCAATAGGTTACATAATCCATGTAGCTAGAAGGGTTAATTTCCAAAATAATTAAATATCAAATACCACGTTGGATTGCATTAATGTCTAAAAGTTCAAGTATTTAATTTGTATGATATGTTTGTTCATATTTAGAAGTCTTGAAAATCCTATTACCCAATAGTTCCATACTTCCATTACATTTAAGGAACAACAGCACAATAAACCTACAAGCACTGAAAGATTTCACCCACAACTGATCATACCAATCAATAAGTCACACACAGTTCATCTAAATACATCCAGGAACCGTGACATTTATTATAAAGAATCCACAAGATTGCCTTCAGAGTCCAATTAGATCATAACCATGAAGCTCATCAGTACAAGATTGCCTTCAGAGTCCAAGGTTTATTTTGTTTAAATACCAAATTGCAAGCCACATCCAAGTGGCCTCTAGGAGAAAACTAAGACAGTAGACTATTAATTGCATAGGAGTTAAACTTTCTAAACCATGGGACATAACTGGAATGAAAGGCTTTCTTTAAAGAGATAATGGGCCAAACATACAGACTTAAAAAATAAACACGAGCACTAGGGCCTAGGCAAAAAACAGAGTTGGTGGGTTTTTGCATTAGCTTCTTCCTATGGTTAAAGCAGAGATTTTATTCCAGCTTCATAGGTGCTCAATGATGATTCATGAACAATGATAAGTGCCATCAGTGGTGGAGTCTTAGGAGGGCCTATCGCCTGGCTAGGAGGGGTGGTTGTCCTCCTCAATTTCAACAAATCTTTTTGTCCTAGCTTACATTCAGATTTAAAAAAAAAAGAAGTGTAGCATAAGTTCCCCCCCCCCCCCCCTCGTCCTTATTATTCCTCATGTATGAATGAAAACTTGGAGATTTCTTCAAATCTGGGAGCGTCGACCTAGTATCGGATTGGCCGGTCTAATTTAGTATGAATTTTGCTTTCGTCGCCCCTCTCACAAAATTTTCTAGCTCTGCGATTGAATGGCATCAAACACTGTAATTTTGGGAACCAACTCTCTCCCACTAAAATTTGGTGAAATTTACACATTCGGGTTTAGGGTTTAGGGTTTAGGGTTTAGCAAATAATTAAGTGACTAAACTTGATCCAACACATGACCTTTGTGCATCTTTCTAAACTGAATAAATCTCAACCCCACATCCAATTGAAACTTTCTAATACAATAACAGAAGCATGAAAACAGAACGAAACAGTTATTACCACTACAAACTGACTTAAAAAACATGTATTGGGACTCAAAGATGATGACGGAGAGGAAATAAAAACAAGATCCGAACCTGAAAATGAATGATTTGCAAGAACAAAGGAAAAAAATCCCAAAATATGTGGTGTTAAAGCAAATACAAGAACAATGAATGACGAAGAAAGAGAAACCATAAAAAGATGATAAATTTAAGAAGAAGAAAAGACCGTGATGTGCGTAGATGTAAGCCTCCCTCCAGGAATAAATGTGATCACCGGGCTTCAGATGTTCCCGAACGATCTTATTGGAAAGCAATCCCATGTCTCTCTCTCTGAAGTCTGAACCCAAGCACAATGGAAAACTTGAAAAAGGGTTACGAAATATTATTGATGTTTTTTTTGAATTTGTACATAGGGGTCTCCATTTATAGAGACTTCTTGACCTAATTTTGACCTAATGGGCTTGGCCCAATATACAAGTAACGAACTAAACAAATACAAACAAATGACTACGTAATTACTAATAAATGACTACATAATTACTATTTACAACACTCCCCCTCAAGCTGAGGAATAGATATTTATCATTCCCAGCTTGCTAGCAAGTTCTTGAAATCTATCTGAAGGAAGCCCCTTTGTCAATAGATCAGCTAATTGACGCCTAGTGGGAATGTATGGAGTGGTAATCAACCCGCTATCAAGTTTCTCTTTGATGAAATGGAGGTCGACCTCAATATGTTTAGTCCAATCATGTTGAACTGGATTATGAGCTATACAAATAGCGGACTTATTATCACATAGCAGCTTCATAGGTCCCTCACATTTTATTTTTAGATCATCAAGTACAATTTTCAGCCACAGTAACTCACAAATGCCTTGAGCCATAGCTCGAAATTCAGCTTCTGCACTTGATTTGGCGACCACATCTTGTTTCTTACTTCTCCATGTCACCAAGTTACCACAAAGAAACATGCAATAATCAGTGGTAGAACGACGGTCAGTCACGGATCTAGCATAATCAGCATCTGTGTAGACTTCTAAAGATAGATTGCCATCACGTCGGAATAATAACCCTTTACCAGGAGTACCTTTCAGATACTGAAGAATTCTCTCTACTGCCTGCATATGTTTCTCCTTTGGATCGTGCATAAACTGACTGACAACACTAACAGCATAAGCTAAGTCTGGTCTAGTATGGGCCAAATATATCAATTTCCCAACTAGCCGTTGATATTGTCCTTTATCAACTGGAGGACTCTCCTCTTCATAGCACATCTTGTGATTCTGCTCAATAGGAGTATTAGAGGGTTTACACCTGAGCTTTCCTGCTTCTTTGAGAAGATCAAGAACATATTTCCTCTGGCTGATAAAGATTCCTTTGCTCGAATGAGCTACTTCTATCCCTAGGAAATATCTCAGTTTCCCAAGGTCTTTGACTTCAAACTCAGAGGCAAGTCGTGTTTGCAGAATCTGTCTCTCCACAAAATCATCACCTGAGATAATAATATCATCAACATATACAAGGAGCACAGTAAGCTTCCCATTTTGGGAGTGCTTGAAAAAAAGAGTGTGATCTCCTTGACTTTGTTTATATCCTAAGGTCATCATAACCTTAGTAAACTTTCCAAACCAGGCACGAGGTGACTGCTTCAATCCATACAAGGCCTTTTTTAATTTACAAACTTTATTTTCTCCCTTCACAGAATCAAAACCAGGCGGAATTTCCATGTAGACTTCTTCTTCTAACTCACCATTGAGGAAAGCATTCTTCACATCAAATTGGTTTATATCCCAATTGTAATGGGCAGCAAGGGATAACAAAACTCTCACCGTATTCATCTTTGCAACTGGAGCAAATGTTTCTTCATAATCAATGCCATAGGTTTGAGAGTAACCTTTGGCAACTAATCGAGCTTTGTATCTCTCAAGAGTTCCATCAGAATTATATTTCAGGGCATAAACCCATCTGCACCCTACCGCTTTCTTTCCAGTAGGTCTATCAATAACCTCCCATGTTTTATTTTTCTCCAATGCATTCATCACCTCTTGCATGGCTTAAGCCCAATTCCCATCTTTCAAGGCTTCATGTACTGATTTTGGGATTGTAATAGAGTCTAGTGCTGAAACAAAGCTTTTGTGCTGCACAGACAGATTAGCAGAGGAAACAAAATGGGAGATAGGGTATTGAGTACAAGAGGAACAAGATTTCTTGGGACATGATCTTTTTCCTTTTCTAAGAGCAATGGGTAAATCATCAGAATCAGTAGTAATGGGTAAGTCATCAGAAGTATCATGATCAGAAATATGAGATTCAGGACTTACCAGTGGTTCAGACGATTGAGGTTGCTGTTGAGGCAATGTGGGCTGTGTATCATTCATAGGAGGATCAGTCACAGGAGGATCAGACATAGACACATTGGGAACAGGAACAAGAGGAAGAGACATTGACTCAGGTGAAGGAGTAGACACTGAAGATTCAAATTCAAAGAAGGAAGGTGATGAGTCTTCTAGTGAATTATTCTCCCCCTGAAGATGAAAACCTTGGAAAAAGGACTCAGATTCCTGAAATGTAACATCCATAGAAACAAAAAATTTCCGACTTCCAGGGTGATAACACTTATAGCCCTTCTTATCAGGAGCAAATCCAAGGAAGACACATTTAAGAGCCCTAGGATCCAACTTACTGCGATGTTGTTTATGAATATGAACAAAGACAATACACCCAAACACTCGAGGAGGAAGACTTTGCAAAGTTGGAACAGAAGGAAAAAAAGAAGTCATGGAGTGAATAGGACTTACATGATCGAGAACCCGAGTGGGTAGACGGTTGATCAAGAACGCTGCAGTAAGAATGGCATCTCCCCAATAGCATTTGGGTACATGTGTTTGAAACATTAAGGCACGAGCAACTTCAAGAAGGTGACGATTTTTTCTTTCAGCAACCCCATTTTGTTGAGGGGAGTCTACACAAGTAAGTTCATGAATCATACCTTGATTTCGTATAAATTGGGAAAAACTGTGATTAACATATTCAGTACCATTATCTGTTCTTAGTCTCTTGATTTTTCTACCAAATTGGGTCTCAACCATTTTATAAAATTGAAAGAACAGATGTGGTACCTCAGACTTTTCATGCATTAAGTAAACCCAAGTTACACGAGTGCAATCATCAATAAAAGAAACAAACCATCTATTTCCAGAAGCATGAGGGACTTTAGAAGGACCCCAAACATCATAATGAATAAGATCAAAAGGTTCAACACTCTTAGTACAACTAGAAGGAAAAGACACACGATGATGCTTAGCAAACTCACAAACATCACAATGAAAAGACTCAATAGGCTTAGATAAAAACAATGACGGAAATAAAGACTTGAGTAAACCAAATGGAGGATGTCCCAAGCGCTTATGATGAAGCCAAATCAAAGAATCAGCAGTTGATTGACCATGAGACATCAAGATGTGATCTGTTACTTTATTTGCGGGAGATTGTGACACCAGATAGTACAGCCCACCTTGCTCTTTAGCACTACCAATCGTCTTCCCCGTGGCGAGATCCTGAAAAACACAATGGGTAGGGAAGAAGGTTACAGTACAATTCAGATCTTTTGTAATTTTATGAATAGAAAGAAGATTCGGGACTGCTGTAAGTTTATGTCACCAGAACCCGCAACTGATGTATGTGAGCCATCAGCTATGGCTATAGTATGAGTTCCAATGGTAGGATGATAAGAAGCAAAGGAGTCAGCACAACAAGCCATATGATCAGTAGCACCAGAATCAACAACCCAGGAATGTTTAAAATCATTACATGAAGAAAGGAAAGAATGAGTTTTGGGGCTCATACCAGTCAAAGCCAAAGCACTAGTATCAGATGGCTTACTCAGATAATCAAGGATGGTTCGGAGCCGTTCTAACTCATCTAGACGAAATGCAGGTTGGGTCTCATTAGGTGCAGGAGTTATTCCAAAGGAAGTAAAATGCGCTTGACCACGCATCCTTGCCATCTTTTCTAAGACAGTTTGCTTTCCATGGAGGCGAAAGCATAAATCCTTGATATGACCTGTTCTTTTACAATAAGAACACCATCGATCATCTCTCTTAGGTTTAGAAGATGCACCATCATAAAACTTTGTAAAAGAACTCCTTTGAGAAGAGGCCATACTGCACAAAAAACAGTCAACGAAAAAGGCTCTAAGAAGCCAAAAAATTCGGAAAAAATACCAAACGATGTCCGATCTGAGAAAACAACACAGATCCAGAAAGAGAACAAGGAGACGAGAAGAATGGTGGTGGTCCGGTCCAGAAACACCGCCGGACGCGCCTCCACGCGCCGGAGAAAGCAGCTGCGCGTGGGCTTCACACGCGGACAAAGAGGGGGCGCGTGAGAGCGCGTGGAAAGGCTTCTCCGGCTGAAATTTTTCCAGTGTGGTCTTCTGGTGAGCGCGCACCTGTCTGTGGGTGCTTGCGGTTGAAAAGTCACCGGAAAGGGTTCTAAACGGTGAAGACAGAACTGGTTGAAGGCGGTCGGAGGTGTTTGGGTCGTTTGTGGCGGAGGAACGTTGTGTAGAATGATAGAACGAAAAAAAAAAAGGTCAACAGTGGTCCCCTTGGTCCAAAAGGTCCCCGGATATCATTCACAAACGGATGGACAAAGTGAGGTTGTCAACCGGTGCCTCGAGCAATATCTCCGGAGTTTCACCATGGATCAACCATCATCTTGGTCCAAATATATCCACTGGGCTGAATATTGGTACAATACATCCTTCCACTCTTCGGCTAAAATGACACCTTTTGAGGCTCTATATGGCCGCAGCCCTCCTACTATCCCTGATTATATTTCTGGTGGTTCATCTGACTCCAACGTTGACCGTGTTCTCCGTAACAGAGATGCTCTTTTATGCTTACTTAAAGATAACCTCCGACGTGCTCAACAACGCATGAAAGCTTTTGCAGACACCAGTGGCACAGATCGCGCATTTAATGTTGGTGATAGGGTACTGGTGAAACTCCATGCTTACAGGCAACAGTCCTTAGCTCAGCGCAAGTCATACAAACTGTCCAGAAGATACTACGGGCCATTTCAGGTGCAAGTCCGTATTGGGCAGGTTGCTTACAAGCTGTCTTTACCATCCACTTCAAAAATACATCCTGTATTTCACATTTCTTTGCTCAAACCATTTCATGGTGAACCAACAGACGCTGCCCTCCCAAGTCTTCCTGACGACGAGCTAGAGAACCTTGGGGACAAGGTTCAGCTTGAAGAGCGAGGGGATGATAAATACCCCACAGCTACAGTACCGCTCCGTGCACGTATACGCAAACAACCAACTCACTTGGCTGACTACGTCGTGGGTACAACATCTAGGAATAGTTAATGTTTTGTATTTTATTCCTTCCGTTACTTTTGTTCAGTTTATTTGTAACCTCCCTTGTAGTTATTTGCTTTCATTGCACGTTCTGATTGTGATCCTTATTTCATGGGATTTAGTTAGTGGGTCTTTGGTTGTTTTAGAGCATAAATAGGAACCGTATTATGAATGAAAGAGCAGATTATTTTGCAGTAACGTTTATTTCTTTTAAATTTAAACAAGCTTATCCTTTTTGCTAAAAAGGAGACCTACCATTTTGCTATCTTTCTTGTATTTACAGGGTCTGAACTGTGTCCAATCATGACAATCCCATTTTGCTTGTGATCAATTATGGATATGTTGCCAGATGGCTTAACGTGCAAAAGCATATAGTATAGGCGATCTTTACCAAAAGATTTTCTCTAAGATTTCAAGGACTTAGATGGCAAGGATGGGAGCAAAAGATGAAAGAGCACAAGAAAGTATTCCCCCCCCCCCCCTGCTCTTTTCTATAACATAGAACATTCAGGTTCACTACTTTGCATTTTCCAACGATTTTTATAGACATATTAGCATAAAGATAATGCACATTCATGTTTTAATTGTTGGGAATGGAACTACCAAAAGATTTTCTCTAAGATTTCAAGGACTTAGATGGCAAGGATGGGAGCAAAAGATGAAAGAGCACAAGAAAGTATTCCCCCCCCTGCTCTTTTCTATAACATAGAACATTCAGGTTCACTACTTTGCATTTTCCAACGATTTTTATAGACATATTAGCATAAAGATAATGCACATTCATGTTTTAATTGTTGGGAATGGAACGAGGGAGCCCAAAACCCTTTGCAAAGGGTGTACATCCTCCAATGGGCCAAATGACAAACCACAATAAGTGGGCCGACACCACATCTCAACCCAAAACCTTAAGGCTGTAGGTTTATGGGTCTTTTGCACTTATATGGTCATCACTTGGTCTATGTCTAGTCTATGTGGTACTTCTTTACAACTCATACTTGATTATTTCCAACATCCTCCCTCAAGTGTGAGGCCCAATATCATTCTTACCCTAAGGACAACTTCTGCGGAAGTCTTTTTTTTTTCTCTTTCAAATATTAGGGTCACACTAGCCTTCTGCAGAGACCTTCCAAACACCTGGCCCAGATCGTTGGGCTCTGATACCACTGTTGGGAATGGAACGAGGGAGCCCAAAACCCTTTGCAAAGGGTGTACATCCTCCAATGAGCCAAATGACAAACCACAATAAGTGGGCCGACACCACATCTCAACCCAAAACCTTAAGGCTGTAGGTTTATGGGTCTTTTGCACTTATATGGTCATCACTTGGTCTATGTCTAGTCTATGTGGTACTTCTTTACAACTCATACTTGATTATTTCCAACATCCTCCCTCAAGTGTGAGGCCCAATATCATTCTTACCCTAAGGACAACTTCTGCGAAAGTCTTTTTTTTTTCTCTTTCAAATATTAGGGTCACACTAGCCTTCTGCAAAGACCTTCCAAACACCTGGCCCAGATCGTTGGGCTCTGATACCACTGTTGGGAATGGAACGAGGGAGCCCAAAACCCTTTGCAAAGGGTGTACATCCTCCAATGAGCCAAATGACAAACCACAATAAGTGAGCCGACACCACATCTCAACCCAAAACCTTAAGGCTGTAGGTTTATGGGTCTTTTGCACTTATATGGTCATCACTTGGTCTATGTCTAGTCTATGTGGTACTTCTTTACAACTCATACTTGATTATTTCCAACATTAATTTCTCAAAGAAATTCATTTCATAAACTCCACTTAGTTTTAAGAGGAAAAGACTCTTTAAACTTGCTTCAGATTAAAGGACTAGTAAAATTAATCCCAAGCATCATTGACAATCAATTATGCCATTCCTTCATCTGCATTGTTCCCTGATCCAACTACACACCCAAAATCAATTTCAATATAATTTTGTCAGTACAGCTAATAGAGAAACTCATTTTTTCTCTTTTTTCAAAAAGAAAACCCTGACTATCAATTTTGCCATTCCTTCATCTCTATTGCTCCTGATCCAACTACACACCCAAAATCAATTTCAATATGATTTTGTCAGTACAGATAATAGAGAAGCTCAATTTTCTATTTTTTCGAAAAGAAAACTCTGACATGAGTCAATATCTTGTGAATATAACTAAATTATCCATCAGACAACATGTCACCGTAACCCCCCCCCCCCACACAATATTATATATATATATATATATATATATATATATATATATATATATATAAATAAATATATGCATTCCTATCTGGTACCTCTTTCCGTTATAATTCCTGCAATTGACTTCTCCTCACCAGGTTTCACAACAACCAAAGCTCCAACATTGTTCTGGGTCATCTGCAACGGATATCAATTTAGTGGATTTCGTCAATCCTGTGTAATTAAACACCTACAAAACTATTGCAAAAACAATTGCAATGAAAGTAAATATGAATTACCGATTTAACAGCATCATAAACAGTATCCTCTGTGTTGCACCAAAGTCAGGAGCCATCTGCACCTTTGCCTTTTGCTTTCAAGATGTCTTCAATGGTGGTGCTCTCAAAACCATGCTCCTCAATACGAGCAGGTGTAGCAGACTCATACCGTGAAAAGGATACAGGCTGCAATAGGGGGTTCACGATGCGCATTCGTTGCAACACAGCATTTTTTACGACATTCCCGTGTGATAAAAACACTCGCAATCCTCCTTGCATTTTAACTTTCTACTAACCAGATAGGCAGAGAGTACCTCTTAGAATTTGTAATTTTGTAATTTAATTAGCTTAAGCCAATAAATGCACATATTCATGGGAGAAGAAGTGATGAGCTCTTAGCTCTACAAAGAATCACACAGTACAAAAGAACCGAGTATATGCATATCGGCCAATTCAAGTGTTATCCCCCCACCCCCAACCAAAAAATAAAAAAATAAAAAAATGGTACTAATTAACAATGAAATAAATTTTGACGAGCATTGCAATATCAGATTGGAAAAAGCTAGATACTCCTAAGTTTTAAAAACAAAACTCATACAGATGTTACCAAAATCAATGGGTGAATCAAATTTACCAAGTGGTCCTCACCACCACAACCAGTTGTGTAATAGTTACCGTCGCATACCAGGTTCTTCTTTTGTAAAAGATTCATGCTAAATTGCATAGCTGTATCAAACTTATATCTTTTTCAGATGAAGCTCAGAGCAACATGGTGACTATCAACAAAAGAGAGAGAGGGGAAACGAAACCAATAAGGTATGTAAAAGCATTTCACAAGATTGTGCTGCTAATTACCCGATTCATGAAGTCTGGGAAATGGTTCATAAATACCCTAACATCGTAAAAAATTCCCATATAACAACATTTCCAAGTGCCAAAGGAGATCAAAATAACTTTCTCGTCCAATTAACAAGCACTCGGATCAAATCTTAGAATAATTTACATAACTTACCATTTAAAAATAAAAAAATGAATCTCAAAATTGAAAAATGAAGTATACAAGAAAACATCACTTCCAAGTCTAAAAAGAGAGAGAAAAGGAAAGAGACGCAGAAGGTACGGAATCCGATCTAAAAATTAATAGAAAAAATTGAATGAGAGATTCAGGTCTCCTCTTTAATTTTATTCAGCGTTGTTGTATCTTTGATGACTAAGGTTCATGGATATATATGGAAGTTGAGGGTAAGCAAACCAAAGCAATCAATTTACTTCATCACAACGCAACACAACATAACCCCCACAGACATCAGCATCAAGAAGCTGAAAATAAATCTGAGAGAAATAAATTTAGAGAAGAAAGGGGGTGGGGGTGGGGACCCATAGAATTAATGATAATCGGAGATAGCATATCATATCAACCTGAATCTGCAGTTTGGGTGGGGTGGGATCTTTCGAGATCCAAGTGAGTGGCAGCACAGAAGGGTGCTCGAACAAAGAATAAGAAATGAGGATAAATTAAAAACTAGTAAGTGGATAGAAAGACGTATGTACCTTACAAGAACACAACAGAAGAGAAGAGTAGAGAAAAGAACGGCGTGAGGATAGAAATGAAATATAGAATGGCTGAGCTGAACCCTAATGAACTTTTTCTAGAAGTTCGATATTAAATATTAAATAGAAGTTCGACTTTATCTAGCAGAAAATAAATGAACTTTTTCTTTTTATTCCATTTTATCATTAAATGAATATATCTGCAAATAATTATTAAATTGTTTTATTATTTTTATCTAATAAAATTAATTTACTTAAAATATTTATATATTAGTTAAAAGTTAATATATTTCCTTTCCTTGCGAGGAAATTATTATTTCATATCACTTATCTTTTGCGTTTGTGTATGACGTAGTAAAATCAAACTGTAAGTGTATAAATTTATCAATAAGATCAATACTAGTTAAGTAATAAAAAATAAATGTATAGGATAACATGCCTTTTGCCTAATAAAAGGTGAGTAACACTGCTCAAAACTGAATCCCATAGCAAATTAGCTACTTAATGGAATTTTTTAATGTGCTACAGCAGTATAAACGCGGTTGATGGTCCTTTGTGTTTTTTGAAAAATTATTTAATTTTTAAATTCTTCTTTTTTCAATGATATATCTCTCAATCTCTTTTTCCTTTCTATTCTTGGAAGGGACCATGATATTTCAGGACCATCAAAAAATATGAGATATCAAAAAACACAAATAAATCATCAAATAAGATTTACTATCTCTTATACTATAAGAGATAAAAAAAATTGATACATAATAAAAGATAAATTTATCTTTTATATATAAATAAAAATATAAGTGACTCGTATTTTCTCTTTTTCTTTTTCATAATTCCTAATTCTTTTAGCAATATTTTGATGGGTTCGCTTTTTCTACAGTCAATGTAGATAACTTATCTACAGTGAGCCCAAAACGACGTCGTTTTGAGGCTGAAATCAAGGTATTTTTGTAATTATAATTTATTTCAGGGTTATAATAGTCTTTTTCATTATAGTTTTTTAATTTTTCAACCCAAAACGACGTCGTTTTGGGAGCGAATGTAGATAACTTATCTACATTCACTTTAGAAACATTAAAGTCTATTTTGATTCTGTTTGATGAGAAAATCAATGTTTTTAATCTCATAGTGCTAAAGAACTATGATTTGTTATTTTTAAGTCAACAAGGATTTCTTCATCAATTTTCACGTGTGGAGACTCCTTAACAAAACTCTAATAGTGAACAAAAACATCAACATATCTTGAATATCCCAAAAGCTTTATACTTGTAGTCATAGATCCCTATTCATTTTTAGACAAAATGCATTATGACTATTGTGTTTTTTGTTAATAAGATTGTTCCCAATATACTTAGGCACCGATCTCCTTACAATTTGCTATATCACAAGGAGTTTGATTGCTCATACTTATGACTTTTTGCCTCCACTTTCTTTGCCCTCATAGCAAGTTTCATCCACGGGCTCACACTTGTGTCTTTCTAAGTTATTTTCATTGATTAATCAACCAACAAATCATGAGACAATATTCATTTGCAACGGTGCATCTCCTCAAGACATTGTCATGGATTCTTTTTCAGATTTAGCTTTGCCCGATATATTTACATCTTATAGCTCTCCTCTATGTCTAAAACCAGAGGTTGCCCCCTATCATGAGTCATCTGTCCCATAACAGCCTACCCACCCTACTCTTGTACAATGTTAACGGCCTAAATGTATTCATGATTCTTTGGTTCCATCTTAATCCCAGTTTCTCATATATCCACTTGAGTAGTCCTAGCTATCTTTAACATTATCATTGCAATTTTCCAATCACTTATCCATTATCACCTTTGTTCCATATGCTTTGTCCTTAGTGATTTTGTATGAGCTATCTCCTAAACATAGATAATTAACTCTTAATGTCTTTTCACACTTTAAACCTCATTTTGACCATCAAAGCCATCAATTTCCCTAAATGGTTTGTTTTTTCTTTGCTTTCAAGCAAACACATAGTTGGATGTCACTAGATTTACAAAATTGTATTCAAGTCTCATGGTTCCATTAAGTGATATAAAGCTCATTTGGTAGCCAATAGGTGTACTCAACAAGATGGGTGAACTTCATTGATACTTTTTCCAAAGTTGTCAAGTTAGTCACAGTTAAAACTCTACTTGTCATTGCATCCTTTAAAGGTTGAATCTTCCATCAATTGGATGTAAATAATGCCTTTCTAAAAGGCAATTTATTTGAAAAGGTTTACATGGACTCACCTCTCGTCAATAAGGTTCAGGGGGAGGCTCTTGGTGACGATGGCAGACCTGTGTGTCGTCTATGCTTTTCATGGCCTTGGACAAACATCAACACAATGACATTCAAAAAAAATTGCTACATTTTTAAGGCATGACTTTCGTCAGTCCAAGTTAGACTATTCCCTTTTCACAAAAGGTTATGGATCATTCTTTGCTACCTTCTAGTGTACGTGCATTACATAATTCTTAGAGGTCCATCATCTAAAATAATTGAATCCTTTTAAAATAATTCATTCACCATCGGTTCAAGTTTAAGAATTTTGGTCACTTGAAGTATTTATTACGTATTGAAATTGTTAAGAGCTACAGAGGCATTGTGTTCCAAAAGTTACTACTCCCTCTAATTAGCATAAGACGTGGGATTTCTTGCTTGCAAACAAGTTATTGTTCCCATGGAGCATAAATACCAACTCAATGGTATTGATGGCAAGCCTTTATCTAATTATTCATAATTTCGCATATTAGTTGGAAGGATATTATTATACCTAACACTCTCTAACCAGATATAACCTTTGATGTCCACAAATTGAGTCAAATCATGTCTCAGCCTAGAATCCCATACTTGCAAGCAGTTCACTGCACTTTCTTAGATATCTTAAAAGTATACTTGGCCAAGGACTATTGTTACCTTCATCTTTTTCTTTATAGTTGACAACCTTCACTGGTGCAGATTGGGTATCATGTTTAGATGCAACAAAATTTGTTATTGGAATCTGTGTTTTTCTTGGGGACTCTATCTTGAAAATCTAAGAAACAACAAACATCTTAAATTTTGTAGCTGAAGCTGAATACGGAGTGATGACTGCTATTCAGCAGAACTTTGTTTAATGTTGTAACTTTTGCAGGACCTTGCTATTTGCTGTTCGTTTTCAACGTTAATGTTTTGCGACAACCAAATGACAATCCACAATGCTTATAATCTAACTTTCCACGAACTTACTAAACACATTGAAATCAACTACCATTTTCTTAATGATCAAGTTGATGTTTATTCTTTTTTAATATCATTTGGCTAATATATTCACGAAGCCATTACTATATTCATCATTATTTCCTTTGCTATTCAAGATAGTTGTGCTTGATACATGATAAGCATATACCACAAAATACTATAACCAATCATTATTATGTTATTAGTTAACGGTTATAGTTAGTTAACTCTTCCTATTATTTTCTTGTTCATCTGCTATAAATATAGAGCAGTGTGTACTCTCTTTAATTAATCAATATACGAAGTATTATTCAGTTACATGCTTTCCTTTCTATCTTTCTGTTAGAACTCTCGTTTGAGAGTTTCTTGCTTCCTGAGTCTGATACCTTTCATGGTATCAGAGCACCACAAGATCCATGACCTCTCCGCGATCAGACACACCTTCTTCCGTGAGCAATGCCAACACGTCAACAACGAAAATCATCATGAAATCCTTTTCACAACCCATTGCAGATAAACTAGATGAAGAAAGCTTTCTCCCATGGCAACAACTTGCCCTTGCAACCATCCATGGTCATGATCTTCGGGATCATCTTGATAAAGAAAAGGTTCCACCTCAGTATCAGACACCAGAAGATCAAGATCTTTAGATCACAAATGCTGCATATACTCAATGGCATCAACAAGACAATCTTCTCGTCTCATGGCTTCTTTCTTCGATGAACATGTCCTTCAAGAACAGAATGGTTGGCTGCACTCATGCCTATGAGATATGGATCAAACTTCAGGTATATTTCGCCTCTCGTACTTAAGCCAAAATCAAGCAACTCAAGAATTTATTAAAGAACACCAAGAAAAAAGGTCCAGCTTCCGAATATCTACTCCAAATCAAGAAGAAAATTGATTCTTTAGGAGCTGTTGGTTCACCTCTTACTGATAATGAATACAACGAAGCAATTCTTGATGGACTGGGAGAAGAATATGCTCCCCTCATTACATCTGCAATGTCCAGATCTCCTCCATTCTCGGTTATTGAATTAGAAGCCTTTCTATTGGCACAAGAAGACATGCTTGATCGTTTCAAGAAAACTGAACTCCCTTCCATTCAAGCCAATTTTAGTCAAAGAAACCCATCACAAGACCCTGCAGCCACTTTCAATCAACTAAATCAGACATCAGAACCTGCTGGTAATCGTAACTTTGGTGTTCGAAGAGGCAGAAGCAACAGAAATTTCAGAGGCGACAGATATTCAAACTCCTCTTGGAATCAAAATCGACTTCAATGTCAAATATGTGGCAGAAATGGCCATCCTGCGTCAAGATGCTTTTATCGCTATGATTCTTTTCAACAAAACACACCTACAGTTAATTCAAATCAGAGAACACCACCACCACCACCATCCACCTTTCACAATCCAACAACTTACTTAGCTGGTCCTACATCTCTTGTTGATACTTCTTGGTATCCTGATTCTGGCACAACCCATCACCTCACCAATGACATTAGTAATCTCACCACGTGCTCTGAATACAATGGATCCGATAAGGTACATGTTGGTAATGGAGCAGGTATGTCTATTCAACACTTTGGTAACTCAACTTTATGCACCTCTAATTCATCTACAGTTTTTAAACTCAAGAATTTACTGCATGTTCCTCACATTACCAAAAATCTGATTAGTTTTTCCCAATTTGCCAAGGACAATGATGTTTATTTTGAATTCTATCCTAATCGTTGTCTTGTCAAATCTCAGGTTACCAAGGAAATTGTTCTCAAGGGCAACCTTAAAGATGGTCTCTATCAATTCACCAATTCTCATGTGAATTCACACCCTATATCACTAACATCTCCTACTGCACTTTATTCTAAACTTGCTTCTTTTGATGTTTGGCATAAACGTCTAGGACATGCAGCTCCACCTATTGTTAAAACTGTATTGAAACATTATAATCTTCCTTTTAATATGAATAAACGATCCTCTGCTTCATCAGTTTGTGAAGCCTGTTGTCTAGGCAAAATTCACCAATTACCACACTTTGATTCAAATACTCAATATACTTCTCCTTTTGAATTGGTTCTGATTGATGTTTGGGGTCCTGCACCCATTCCTGAAAATTCAGGATCCTTTTATTATGTGTTGTTTGTTGATACCTTTACTCGCTTTAGTTATCTTTATTTTCTGCGCCACAAATCTCAGGTTTATCAGACCTTTATCCAGTACAAAACAACAATTGAAAATCTCACTGGTTTCAAGATTAAATCTGTGCAAACAGACAATGCCAAGGAACTCACTTCATCTCAATTTAACCATTTCCTCAACCTCCATGGCATTACTCACAAACTCACCTGCCCCTATTCCCATCAACAAAATGGCAAAGTGGAAAGAAAACATCGCCACATTACAGAAGTTGGTCTAGCTCTCTTAGCCAATGCCAAATTACCTTTATCTTACTGGGAAGAAGCTTTTATAACAACCATCTATCTTACAAATAGGTTACCAACCCCTGTTCTTCATTTTAAATCTCCCTTTGAGCTTTTATATCACAACACACCCGATTACAGCTTTAAGAAGATATTTGGATGTGCTTGCTTTCCCCTACTTAGACCATATAACAGACATAAACTTGATTTTCGATCCACCAAATGTCTTTTCTTGGGATATGCAGTTGATCACAAGGGATACAAATGCCTTGCTCCAAATGGTAAAGTCTATATCTCTAGAGATGTTTTATTTGATGAACTTAATTTTCCATACTCTGAATTATTTCCTACATCCTCTCATGTCTCTCAATCAACTGATATTTCTCACATTCCTTACATTCCCTTGTTACATCAGCACATTCCTGCACATATTCCCCAATCCCCTCATTTATCTGTTACTACTAACATTTCTCCCAGTGTTTCAACTATAAACTCCCCCCACTTCCAGCATTTCCAGAGCAATCAACATCACCATCAACATCTCCTGATCATACCACTGCAGTTGATCCTTCACGTCCTATGCAAACTCGAGCCAAATCAGGGATCTTCAAACCAAAATCATTTGCAACTACAACCATTGCTTTCGATCCACATTTACTACATTATGAACCTCAGAATGTCTCTCAAGCACTCAAATTTCCTCATTGGAAACAAGCTATGCAGGAAGAATATACAGCCCTCATCAACAATGGTACCTGGACTCTTGTCCCTCCCACCTCTTCCATTTAACCTATCGACTGCAAGTGGATATTCAGGATCAAGAGACATTCAGATGACAGCATTCACAGATATAAAGCACGATTAGTTGCAAAGGGTTTTCAACAAAGAGAAGGATTCGACTTTAGTGAGGTGTTTAGTCCGGTTGTCAAACCTTCTACTGTCAGACTCATTCTCTCTATTGCTCTCACCAACAAGTGGATCATCCGTCAGTTTGACTTTAATAATGCTTTTCTCTGTGGATCACTTCAGGAAGATGTCTATATGCATCAACCTACAGGCTTTCCTAGTGATCATCCACTCTTTATCTGCAAATTAAACAAAGCCATCTATGGCCTTCGACAAGCACCTCGAGCATGGTTTCAGACTCTCAACCTCACCCTTAAAAAACATGGATTCCACAACACAAAATCTGATGCATCTCTCTACACCAGATTCACTCCAACATCTACTATTACATACTCGTGTATCTTGATGATATCTTGATCACAGGAAATAATCCAACTGAAATCTCATCCCTCATCTCTCAACTCAATAGCCAATTCTCCCTAAGAGACTTAGGAAGCTTGAACTACTTCCTTGGCCTCGAGGCAATCTATACATCACCCACCACTTTACACCTTACTCAAACCAAATACATCACTGATCTATTAACCAAAACCAATATGCTATCAGCTAAACCCATGCCTACCCCTATGATTGCTCACCAGAAACTGTCTCTCGAGGGTGATGTTGCCTTCTCTGATCCCACTCTCTATAGATCTATCGTCGGTGGCATCCAATATGCAACCATTACCAGACCTGACCTCTCCTATGCTGTCAATAAGGTCAGTCAATTCATGCACAACCCACTTGAAATTCATAGGAAGGCAGTGAAGAGGATCCTTCGATACCTAGCTGGCACTCTCACCCATGGCTTAGTTTTTCATCCTTCCACTGATTCCAGACTCATAGCATTCTGTGACTCTGATTGGGGATCAGACATTGATGATCGCAAGTCCACCAGTGGTTTCTGTGTCTACTATGGCAGCAACGTAATTTCCTGGACCAATAAGAAACAACATGTTGTTTCCCGCTCCAACACAGAAGCTGAGTTTCGCAGCCTAGCAGCCACCTTAGCTGAACTGATCTGGCTTCAATCTCTTCTCTCAGAACTTCGAATTCCTTGTCCCACTCTTCCAACCATGTTTTGTGACAATGCAAGTGCAGTCCAACTGGCAGCCAATCCCATACTTCACAATAGAACCAAACACTTTGAGTTGGATCTTTATTTTGTTCGTGACAGAGTTCTCCAACGTCAAGTCTTTGTTCAACATCTTCCAGGCACTGAACAAGTTGCAGACATACTCACCAAACCTATCTCTGCTCCTAACTTTACCAGATTTCGCTACAAACTCAGGGTTGATGCTTCACCGCTGAGTTTGCGGGGGGCTGATAAGCATATACCACAAAATACTGTAACCAATCATTATTCTGTTATTAGTTAACAGTTATAGTTAGTTAACTCTTCCTATTATTTTCTTGTCCATCTGCTATAAATATAGAGCAATGTGTACTCTCTTTAATTAATCAATATACAAAGTATTATTGAGTTACATGCTTTCCTTTCTATCTTTCTGTTAGAACTCTCATTTGAGAGTTTCTTGCTTCCTTGGTCTGATACCTTTCAATACACACTTCAACTTGGGGGAGTTTTGTAATTAGTCACTAGTTAGTTTGTAACTAATTTAGTTAGAATGATTAATTAATTTGTTACTTTCTAACTATTTTGAAGTGTGTACTTGGTATATTGTCTAACAATAATTGAAGTTAATTTCATTTTTCTCACTTGTCTATGTATGAAATGCTTGAAGCTAGTACCCTTAGCCGTCGTTGAAGAAGTCTGAAAATATAACTAATTCACATTATCTTATCTTAACTCTTAATTATTTTCAGACTTCTTCAACGACGGCTAAGGGTGCAGCGTGATATTTTGGCAAAATTTACTGTTAGTGTGACAGTCTGATAAATTTTTTTGCCAAGTATGACAAAATGATCACTCTTCCTATGAATTCACTGTATAATATGAATTATTTATGGCTAAACTTAAAGGGAAAAAATAATAAATCTTGAGATAGAGATGCATAGAGGTCCGCAAAACTGAATCTGGGGTTAAGATAAATAATTTGTTGCTCTCTGCTAACATAAGAATGTGTCCTAATGTTATTGGTTGTAGTACAATCTCTAAATTCTTCACATTTTCTCATTAAAAAATTCTTACATGTTGCTGGAGGAATAATTCTTTCTCGATGCATGGTGCGGAGTGATATGACAATAGCACATATTAAAAATAAAAATACCTACTAAGTTGAAGAAAACGTGATTTTAGTAAATTACGAACGTTCAAAGTTAAATTGATAAAAACAAAATTACAATAGTTGTCAGGGCTGATTTCTAAAGAAGGTTCTCAATTCATATTTGCAGTAAATCACGGATGCTTGATTCTTGACTTTAAGCATCGGTAGATTTTACTCATTAAAATGCCATTAATTCTTGAATTTGAATGGAAAGATAGACTTTGAAAGTGAAATGGAAGCGGTAACTCTTGATATGATTGTTTGTGGAGTCTCCGAGATCTTTATAAAGGCTTAAATTGCATTAAGCCTGCCTGAAGTAGAAACGGAAAGGGGCAAATCACACTAAAAATACAATTCTTTATCTATTTCATTTTATTAATATAAGATTATAATAATATTAAACTTTATTAAGCTTAGTTTTAATATAATGATTAAGGTTTCTTTACTAAGTTAATTACTCGGCCTCAAATCTTTTTCATTAGTTGGATTAATGGATCATCACATTTAAAATGGTAAGAGAATGCATGTAAGGTGTTAATAAAATATAATGCTCAAGGTCAGACTACTACTTCCAGTTGACTAAGTTTAATATTCACTTTTAAACTCGAAGCAAACTACTCTGAATTAGGTGAAACGGTCCCCTTGACATGTGTCTTAATAGTTTTTTGACAAATAATAGAAATAGTAATCTCACATTATTTATTTATGGGGAATACTTTTCTCCTTTAAAAGGAGAGAAGAGTTGTCTCCTACTGAGACAAAAAAGTGGGACCAACAATTTAAAAAAAAATAAAAACAAAAATAAAAGCTTGACACGGAAGTCGATGTATGTGTAGGAATGAAATGTTGTCTCATGTGAAAGGAGAAAAGCATTTCTCTTTATTTATTTATTTATATTTTCGTTTAACTAGGATGCAATTCTTCTCATCTCTCCTCTCCTATTGAACTCGCACAAAAAGAGCAGAAAAGATGCAACAACAGGCTCTGTCCGCGACATAGAAAGAGAATAAATATTATTTATGGTAGAAATGTGATTTATATCAACACTTAAGCACCAGAAACCAACATGTCGAAAACTCAGCAATATCTAGTATCTACCATCCAAGAGAAAGACATGTTTATCTCAGTCAACCTGAAATATGAGAGCTCTTTGTTTACTTCATACGCTAACAAGGGAAACCAGATAGATCCTTCAAGCGCCTTCTCACAGATAACAGGAAGAGTGTCACCATATAAGGCCAATAACTTCCTTTCATTCTCAATCAAAACACAAACAGGTGAAAAACTTAACCTGCAATTGGGACACATACCAAATTACGGAGTAGGTTCAAAGTTCGTATCTTTGGAGAAAGCACTCTGATATAGCATATTACCATGTCCACTTTCACATGAATTTTTTTGCAAAATATAACATGACATTATCATTCTCTATTTTATACACTATGTATGCGTACATATAAGTATTTCACATTCTATTTCTTGGATAAGGCATAGAAGCAACACAGTTAGTATGTTAAACCAAAGTAGATAAATGGCCTAACTTAAAATAGTGCCACCAAGCTATCTTTTAGGATTAAACTCGGTATGTAAAATATCTCTCTTCTTTGCTCTGCATAAGCATAATGACAATAGGTTGTACTTTCTGGTATTTATCACATCAGTCATTTGTCATGTTACTCATGAAAACATTATTTTGACAATTTTGAAGTACAAGAAGATTTGCACTAATTTAAAGTTTCATCAATATTTTAAAGTTGTAAGAAATAAAAAAAATATTGAAAAAAGAGGTTTACCTTCATGAAATAAGAATACCACGAAGAGAACCAGCTCCAACTCGCTTTCTTGCCTGCAGCGGAACATGTAATAAGGTAGATACTAAATAAGTCAGGCTTAAATACGGACCTGGACTCTCTCTCTCTCTCTCTTTTTAGGGGTGGGTGGGTATTAGACTCACCTTCTCATTATTAAATAGGTCTTCTGCTGCAGCTTCCGTTTGCTTTCGCCTTTTCTCCTCCTTCACAGACTCAGCCATCTCATCATTCCCATAGTCAGAGTCTCTGGGGTAGAAAACAAATGAGATATAACATAACCTATTACTAGGAGAAAAGGAATGAAGTAAACTGGAAAAGCTAGCCAGATTTTGTTTGAAATAACATCACCAATCAGATTCAATATTATTCTTACTTGTATGGATATTTTGCAAATGGAACAAGATTGTCGAAACTATTACCAGATTGAGTTTGTGCCTGCAATTCCATTTCAAAGAAAACTGAACTAGTCATATACGTTAACATTCAATAATTGACTTTGCATGAAGCAATAAGGTTTGGTCGAATATAAAAGTCAGACAAGCCCCAATATAATTTGAACTAGATAACCAAAATATTTTTGTTTTAAATTTTCAACCACAACAAATGATAAGCTCATTAAGAGCAAGAGATATGGTATCAAAACTACACCTTTCTAAAGCGTTTGAAATCTGGAATACTGATATTTGGTGCAGTAGTTGTGTTCGTAAGTACGTTAATATCTCGAACAACTAAATTTTGGCTGTAAACAATATCTGAATTTCCACTTTCATAATCATCAACCTTGTCTTTCCTTACTTTGATACCACCACTACCATCCTCGAAATTGGTAGTAGCATGTGTATCCAATCTGGCAGAAGCACCATCCAAGCATGTTTCTGTTTTTGCACGTTTTATGTCATGCAATCTGGTAGAAACGTCATCTGAGGATGCCTCCATTTTCTCATGTTTACTCTTATTCAAAGTGCCAGAATCATCATCTAATTCTTCTGTTTTGGTGTATTTTACATTATTGCCATTGGAGAATGCCTCACTTGCATGAGCTGATGTGGCTGTTTCAACTTCGGTATCTGAATCTGCTACAACTGTCTCGTCCGTAGAGCATGAAGATGAAACTAGTACTGCAACGATACATACAGCTTGTTAAAAGAATAAAAATTACCTTTAATTGACCAACCATTCTCCCCTTTTCCTCAATTTCATCCCCATTAGGTGCAATTACAAAGCCTCAAACAACATTTTACACTCAGCAGCAAACAAAGGTGTGAACATTGGAAGAAAAACAACCCTAATTTTGAAATATTTATTGACAGTTGATCTCCTGTTACCTACTTTAATAGATAGCTAATACAAAGGGAAATCTGTCAAATGGCAAGTTTTATTTTATTTTATTTTTTAACGGGGGTGGAAAGCAAAGAATTTTGTACACACATGAACAGGTTCAACCAGATATACAAAATGCAGGTAACGATTTAGGTTTTTCATTTATGGGGAGAAAAACATAAAGGTTTGGACAGTGCAAATCAATTTCTTGAGATATTAAGAATACTTACCACATGGTGATTTCAATACAGACAGATCTAACTGTCCACTCAAAGCAGCAAATATTACATCCAATTCATTCACTCTAAGCAAGGAACTTAATTTATTGAAGCGATCAGAATTGCAAGCTTGTTCTCCTGGGATGACTAAAACCAGACGATTATCATCTTCATAATCTGAACCCTACAAGAAATAAATGAGGTTACCATACTGAAGTACCTAACTTTCAAGCAAGAGATAATAATCGGCCTGCTAATATGCCTAATGTCTAAAGAATATCAGAAATCAGATTAGTCAACCAAAAACTGAAGTCTTTAGTTATTCGATGATGAATTGATGACTATATTTCTGACTCAGGTTAATGCTAGAAAGGGAAAGAAGGCTGAAGAACAAAAGATTGCATTTGATGAGAAATCTTAAAAATTACAAAGGATAAGACATAGGCTATTACTGAATATTTGATTTCAAATGCATGTTTATAGCACATAAAATAGCATGGATATAAACATAAATGTTATAAGCATATAAAATAGTCAATCACCTTATGTCAATTGCAAAGTTCAGTATGTACCTTGTAATCAACAGAATTAATAAATAGAAAGAAAGAAACGAAATACATACTTGGCTATTTAAACAAAATTCTTCAAAGGAAACAGTTTTTGCACCAGCCACTTCCAATAAAGACTTTAGCTGATCCGTGAATTTATGCTGTAAGCAGGGAAAAGAATACGTTAAATATATTATCAAGATGAGCTATGCTCCAAAAGTATCAAAATGTTTTCATCTTATACATTCGGAAACTCATGCATGTTTGTTCCTGCATATTTACATGTGAGCATTCAAACAAAATTTCCAAGAATAAAATAAAGGAAACCTAACAGCATATTCTTTAACAATGGAAAACTGAATAACATCGAAACATGCTATTAATTATAATACTAAAGTTCAGTTTCAGAGTATAGAAGACTTTCAAAAACAAATACCAAATGCAGAGATTCCAACAAAAAAGTGTATCCTTTCAAGCAGTTTTCACGAGTTTTAGGGTCAGCAACTTTGATAGATGCTCCTTCCACAGACACTGTTGGAATATATCTGCTTGTACAGGAGGAAAGGATAGAAAAGAAAAAGAAGACAAGGAAAGCTTCTCTTTAGTTAGCCTAACCAGAGTCAGGGTCATGGAATATAAAGCAGGCTCAACCAAAATTCCAAAGTTAGAGCAATACTTACGAATGACAGCTAGGAATTTCAGTGCCAATGTTCTTCTCTGCAAAAATCTATACAGGGAACAAGCAGTCACAACATAATTTTCAACACAGGCAGAATAGTTCTCTACTAAATCCTTCAATTAACTCTCATACTTATAGACTCTAAATTAGACAATATGTTTATCTTGATGAGCTGTTATCGTAAAAGAAATTTATCCCTTTTAATATAAGCAACAATTAGCATTGTCTTTAGTCAGAACTGAGAATACAAATTCTGGCATACAATTCAAGATCTACGAAGCTAGTAAATAAAGAATAATCAGTGAATATATAACATGTCCTAGACTCAGTGCATGACTCTATTATCTAAAAAAAAAAAATGAGATCATGAAACTTTTATTTATAGTACAGGGTCCACAAGCTACATGAAAAATTATAATTATGCTTGTAAAATCTGAATTGATGCTTAGCAAATTATTCCCACAATTTGGGAAGGTAACACAGATCTAAATATATTATTGCTGTGTATAAATTGTATTAGATGCTTTTAGCTGTATATCTATATACATCAACTCTCCTTTTACATAACCCATTCTACTGCAGAAAAATGCTATGTCCGTCTTAAAACATTTTATTTAAGATGCATCAAATAATAAAAAAAATCAACCACAAAATATGAGTGTGAAAGCAACTAACTTTCATGTCATCAAACTATGAATCAAAGTATGATTAATCACTTGACTGTAACAAATAATTAGTATAATGAATAGTTGAAAACCCAAAATAATCAATACATAACACTGAATGCTTCTATACCTCAAGCCAAGTTTTGAGAACACAAGATTTTTTTGCCACAACAGCATCAACAAGGTCCTTCTTCAATGGCATGAATTGATCCACCAATACGTGTGTGCACTCTTCACCTAAGGTATGAGTAACACCGGCACCTAAATTGAAAGTATATGTTGGTCATTATTCACGTCAAGACAAGAGTCTAATGCTTCATCAAGCAAAACGACATTTCCTGTTCAATGTGAAAAGCACAATAACGGTATATTAATATGCCATAATTTGAGTGCCCTAGGATTTTTTGAATAGATTGCGTCTAATATAGCCCATGTAGCAAGATAAGCTGAGTGGCCTAGGACTTTTTTGAACATGCCGTAATTTCAATTTACATAACAAAAACTAATTACAGTGTCATTGTCGAAGCTATGCAAACTCTACTTCCTTACTAACAAATTTATTAGTTTCTCACCATTATTATTCATATTTGTTGAAACTAACAAAATTCAAGCATTCGATAATATCAAAACTTCACCACTACCATGGGATAAAGCAAGTTAGTAATGGCCTTTCAAAACCTATGATCTCTGATCACACTGCAGACACTGCTTCTGGAACAAATCTTTGGTAGTTAAGTGCTTTTTTCTTTACTAATTTTAAGGAAATGCAATATCATGTGCAAGTAACTGCATATGTTAAAGCAATCTGACAGCATATGTAGTCATGAATTATAGGAATTGAAGAACCTTTACAAGTATTTTCCCCACTGACCAATTGATGAAATTTTCTCTTCAAGAGATTGATCCACTTTATCCGAGGAACAGATGAAAAAAATGAGGGGGACATGGCAAAACCTGTCAGAATAAATTTAAAAAGCACAAAAGTGGAAGAGAGACAAATGTCATGAAACTGCATCAACCTATATAAACCTAGACCTAGAAAAGCTCTGCAACAACATTCTCTAAAAATTAAAAGTAAGAAGCATAAAAGAGGGAATAGAAAACCATATTGAAAAGATTGTTAACATACTTGTAGTTAGCATTACCAGTACCAAAAGAAACAAGGTCACCATCCTCTAATGCTGTTTCTTTGTTTGGTAGCTCATGCACTTTGTTCTTGGGTCCAACATTCTTGCTAATAAATGTTCCATACTTGGAGCAATCTCTAATCTGTATACTGGGTGCCAAATGAGAATGTTCATTTGGTAGAGGGTTTAACATGTTCATTGCATTAACAACAATTTCAGCATGAACCCGAGAAACCCCTTTATCTTTAGTGATGATCACATCACAACCTGTAAGCAGATAGTAAAATGTTCTTATAAATTATCATAATGAAATCCAGAAAACCAATAACCAGTAATTTTGTGCTTAACTGCTTAGAGCTTAAGCTCTTGTGCTGAATCAAGCTTTGACACAAAGCATTCTTACCCAATTTTTACATTTTCAGTTTCACTCTATCAAAGGTAAGGCAATATCCAAACCCATAGTAGCAGATACATAATCTTATTTATTTTGATATAAGAAAATAAGCGTAAAGTGTTAGTAATGAAAATCAATCAAGCACTTTAGCTGCAGTGTGTAGATAACTATTCAATCACGAAACAGCATGCACAAATTTGTGCACAACATAAGCCTTCCAAGTTGGCGAAAAAAATAGTAGGAACCATAAATTACACTACCTTTTCGACCAACTCTGTAAATTCCACTTTTGAAAATGTAGTAATTATCTTCACCTGTCATACAAATTTTAAAATAAAAATTAATACAAAAATTATTGGCACAACAAGAGTATGATAATAGACAGAGTCACAGAACTATAGCACTACAAAAGCCCAAAAATGAATTGAAATAAAAAAGCTGTATTCAATATTGGTACCTGAAAGAGGATCGATGGGGAAGATTCCCCACACCATGATTCTTCTTCGTGGTAACTCTGAAGCTGCACCCTGCACTTGCTGACAAGGTCGAAGACAAAGAATTAAGACATAGGGTCAACCAAGTTCAAAAGATGAAACGACATATTTCTATATCAAACGACTGCCGACTGGTATATTCTCGTATTTAATTATGTGTGCTAATTATAATTTGACTTTAATATATGAGAAATTATAAATAACCCCGAGGTTTTATACTTTGTGTAAAAATTACTCTTCCGATAAACAAAACCTAAGAATGTGTTTGGGAATTTAGAGTGGAAGATAAAGAAGGGAATCCAAAGAAGAGGAAGATGAAAAAAAGGAAGAAAAATAAAAGATATTTTCTTCTCCTTATTTAAGAGTTAAAAAGATGATAAAAATATTTACCAAAAAAGATGATAAAATATAATTATTATATTTTACATATAAAATTAAATTTAAAATTTTAAAAATATATTTATATAATTTTCACATTTAAAAAGTGATTCAACGTCTAAAAAATTATTGGTATTTGTATTATTCATTCACGGATTACTGTTCAGTTCACGCACAGTATTATTGTTTAGGGTTTCTGTGCAAATAGTGATCTTTTTTCTTTCTTTTTTTATAAATAGGCTTCCTCCATAATTTTCAAAAAATAAAAAACTGAATATAGGAACTTTTCTCTCTCTGTAATTATCTTCCTTTCTCTTATCTTTTCTATCAATTTTATAACATAATATCATCACGATAGCTTCTATCATATCAAATTAAATGCCTCTTTGGATTTTTATTTTAAGTTACAAACTCCTTATAAGCATAAGTTATGCCAAACAGATTTTGGGAAAAGTTCTTATAACTAAAAGCTCTTTTTTTATAATGAAGAAAAAAGCTGAAAACTAAAAGCTCTTAGGAGGAGCTTTTTTTTTAAGCTCTTATTTGTTTTTCTTGAATTGTATGCTTTTTTTTTAAAATGAAGAGTGATAAAGATAGAGAGAGATAATTTTCTTGAAATATGTGCTTTTAAGTCATTTTCAAACTAAAACTTTTATGTAATTTTCAAACAGTTTCTAGCTTCTTTTTTTAAACATTTTTTTTTTAACTTTAGCTTATAAGTAACTCCTAGTTTATAAGTAACTTCTAGCTTAAAAATAAAAGAATCCAAACAAACTATAAAAAGTTTGTGGCCAATCCTTCTTCTCTCAATTATTTTTCTCACACACGGTTACCACTTTCCACTTTGACTGAACTCAAGTCACGCTTCTCCCTCTTTTCAACTGCTTCAGACTTTCTCTCAACATTTACCTTGGCACTAATTGAGCGAGTGTCTCCTTTTCTATTGAAGTAGTGGTGGCTTAGTTTCTTTGTTGTTGTATACCACAAAGTGATTTCCTTGAACCTGTAATTGTTATTTCCAAATGTAAAAAAAAAAATCAAAAAAAAAAAATACTCTTCATCGATACTGTTCACATGAACACTATTGTGCAAAAAACACAAAAAGATTATTGAAATGGTGCAAGATGCGCCAGAAACTACCGATCGGAACAAAATTTGATGTTGTTAGTGAAAAACAACAATAAAATTAAAAAAAATTTATATTAAAACTATAATATAAAAAATATATTAAAATAATAATAAACAAATAAATATATATAATATAAGCCAAAAATAACAATTAATACTAAATATTATAATAGCTATGATATATATATATATATATATATATATATATATATATATATATATATATATAAATGACAGTATACGTGGAACAAAGAGATAGCGGTGATACTTACATTTTTCTTGATAATAATTATTTCGTTAATGAGTTAGTTAGATTCTACGGGAACTCGTTACCATTCAACTTTTAAAAATGAGCCCGTTTGTTTGCACTTTTTTAAAAAGTAATTTTTATCTCCTTCTTATTTTAGAAGTTATTTTTACAAAAGTTAAAACTATTTATATTTTTATAAAAATATTTAGATTTTAAAAAAAATATTTGACTTTTGACTTCTACTTTTTTTAGAAGTTAAAATTTTTGACTTTTTTTTGTGACTTATGCTTTTTTTAAAAGCAGACATCCAAACGAATTAAAAATGAAAAATATTCTGAAGAAAAAAAAGTACATCCAAACGGGCCCAATATAGGGTCACCTAACGAAAGAAAAGAAACAAAGAAACGAAATGAAACAGAGAAAAGAAGTGGTCAAATAAGAAGGAATGTAATATTGGAGAAAATCACATTCTCCTAATTTTATTTTTTTATTTTATAGAGTAAAGTTTTTTTTGGGTCGCTAACAAAAAACACGATCTTTACAAAAAAAAATTAGTCGTCTGCCCTGTGAAATTCAAAGCGAATCCATTTTAGTCTTTTTCAGTGAGTAATATGGGTCTTTTTTGAGTTTATGAGGGACTATAATTTTAAGTAAATTGATCTACTTTGAATTTTTTAGGGACCTCAAGACTATTTTTTTGTTTGTAAAGGACTAAAATTTGGACCCTTTTTTTTGTTAGGGACGCAAAATGGGTGTTACTCTCTTTTATATGTAAAACTGATATTTTGAAGTTATTTCTTTAAAAGTTATGAATGTGTCGTTACTCTGTCCAAATATTTTATTTTGAATATCTTCTTTTTTTTTTGATACATCTATTATCTTTGAGTTTGTGGATTTGATAAATTTATTCATATTGGTTATAAGAATGATCTTGAATCTATAATATAGAAATAAAAAATTCCTTTCGTACCAAATGAATATTACGGACTATGTAATCTTTTACTGAATGATTTTGATGTGAACGACCCACGAAGGGATCAAAATGGTTATAGGGTAAGAGACGTCTTATCATGGTTTGAGCTCGGCCATACAGAACCTTTTACATGTAGAACTCATAGAATTTGGGCGCTCACATAATTGAACTTTAGTCATTTCAGTTAAAGACTACACATTCTTTTATATGGTTTGAGCTCCGCCATACAGAACCTTTTACATGTAGAACTCATAGAATTTGGGCGCTCAAAATAATTGAACTTTAGTCATTTCAGTTAAAGACTACACATTCTTTTATATGGTTTGAGCTCCGCCATACAAAACCTTTTACATGTAGAACTCATAGAATTTGGGCGCTCACATAATTGAACTTTAGTCATTTCGGTTAAAGACTACGCATTCTTTTATATGGTTTGAGCTCCGCCATACAAAACCTTTTACATGTAGAACTCATAGAATTTGGGCGCTCACATAATTGAACTTTAGTCATTTCAGTTAAAGACTACACATTCTTTTATATCTATCTATGCAAAAGCCCACAAAGGTTTGAGTATATTTTTTCGAAGAACCCACAAAAGTTTGGGTAGAACCCACAACTGTTTGGGTATATTTTAAAAAAAACTCACATAGGTCTAGGCTTATGTTTATTATTTATGTTATTATTTTCTTATTATAAATATCTTTTGTGAGAATGATATTTTTCAGTATTGATTTTAGTTCAAAAATTTAAATATTGAGATTTATCTCACTTGTGTTTATGTTTATGCTAACATTTTCAGAAAGTAAGCATATCAATATGTGTAGCTTTAGAATAGGATGAAACACCGGATAATGACTTTGAAGACTTAATCGAGTAACTGATAGAATAAAAGCGTTTATTTTCAGTTAAATGATGATGTAATATAGTCCATTTCAGATGTAACAGTCAACTTGACTTTTGTTTCATGTATAATTTTAAGAATTTTTTGTTATATGCCTTATTTAATATATGATGCGTTAGAATGTGATATTTTATTAAAATAAAATAAGAACTAAAAAGTAATGTGATATCATCTATGTTAGTCAGTAATAGGGAATGTTACAGTATTGCAAAGTGATTTTTGTCTATGAGGTAGATATTTGGAAGAATTAGGGTGGCTCTCCACAAATTAGCTTGATACACCAAGTTTTGTCATTTTTTAGGTAAGTTCACTTATTTTCTCTTTTAGTTAATAATTTCTTACTTTTGAATATTTTTGTGCTCTTTATTATTTTTATTAGAAATTTTCTTATATAGTTTAGAAACTTAATTAAGGATTAAATTAGACGTGATGACTTATTAATCTCATAGTTTTTTGGATCATTTTAGTTGTGACAACTTAATGATCCAAAATACATTTTAATAAAATTTATATTAATATAATGACATCAAAATTAATTTATGTATAAATGAGTAATTTAGCCGTGACAGCTTGATAATCTAACACTTATATATATCTATCATAAATTGTAATGGTACCATTAATAACATTAAAATCATTTTATTCTGAGGTTGATTTAACCGCGACGACTTGTCAATCCCACACATACTTTATTTGAGTAGTTTTGGGTGAGGCAACTTGATGATTCGATTTTCCCAAGTTTAAAGAAATTTCATAAAAAGTGAGATTATTTCAAAACGTTATAAAAATTAAAATTAACATATATTTTTAAAGAACGACATAGCTTTAAATTTCTCACTGCACCAGAGGATACGTTGGAGCGAGATTTTTTCTATCAAGCCAAAAATAAATTTTAATAATTTAATTTTCCTTCTTCCAAAATAATCATATATTTTTTTACGAGATAAAGTAAATATTTTTTATAGCTATTAATAATTTGCATAATTAATTAAAGATAACTGTTTTTAAACTGATGTATTGAATGTGCGCGAAAGGAAACTGAGTCTAATAACTACACTTTATGCTATGAGGATACCAGACGACAACTAATCTACAATGGGTGAAACTCTGTTCAAGCTCAGCTACAGATACGAGGCAATGATCTCGGTAGAAATTGGAAAGTCGTCCTAAAAAAGGATGTAAGCCTTGAATGATGAAGAAGAAAGAAACAATGAAGCCCTGGCCATAGAGCTGGACCTATTAGACAAGGAGAGAGTTATGGTACATTGTTGAGATATAGTAACCAAGCAATTGATAGCGACCAAGTACAAAAAAAAGTCAGGCCAAGGTCGTTTGAGAAAGGCAACTTGGTACTCAGAAGATCGGATATCAAAAATAAAAATGCTAAGAACGAAAAGCTAGTTACAAATTAAAAAGGACCCTACCGAATAAAGGAAAAATTC